TCCAGAAAGGCCTAAAGGTCACCGAAAACCCCAAACCAAACTTTTACAAGATCGAATGTGATGCTGTAATAGTTGGCTCAGGCTGCGGCGGAGGTGTGGCGGCCGCTGTTCTGGCAAGTTCTGGCCAGAAAGGTGTCGTTCTCGAGAAGGAAACTACTTACCAAGACAGATTATTCTTCACTAGAAGGACCCTCCATGGATCAACTGTATGAACAGGAGGGATTCTTGCCACTTTCGATGGGAAAATGATGATCATGGCAGGATCAACGGTGGGTGGTGGCTCTGCTGTTAACTGGTCAGCATGCATTAAAACGCCACTGTCTGTGCTCCGGGAATGGGCCGAGGAATACAAGATCCCACTCTTCGCAGGCCCGAGTATCCTTCTGCAATGGAAACAGTATGCAAAAGGATAGGAATTACAGAGAATTGTGAAAAGGAGAGCTTCCAGAATCAAGTTCTTCGTAAAGGGTGTGAAAACTAGGTCTTCGGGCTGATTCGGTGCCGTGAAACTCATCACAGAATCATTATTGTGGTTCTTGCTCTTATGGCTGTAGAACAGGAGAAAAAAAAGGGACTGACTCAACTTGGCTGGTTGATGCTGTGGCTTCTGGTGCAGTGATCATATCAGGAAGCAAAGCTCAGAGATTTATATTGGAAAAGAACAGGCCTCAAGGTACAAGAGGAAAGAAATGCTCGGGCGTAATTGCAAAATTTCTAGACAAAAACATCACAAGAGACTGCATATAGAAGCCAAAGTTACAATCTCAGCATGTGGATCTCTCCTTACACCGCCTCTAATGATCTCGAGTGGGTTGAAAAATCCTAACATTGGCCGGAATCTTCATCTTCACCCGGTTTTGATGGCTTGGGGATACTTTCCAGAGTCCAATTCAGAACTCAAGGGGAACACCTATGAAGGAGGGATTATCACATCGGTTCATAAAGTGGGGTCGGACAAGTCCAATCCAACGGCCATTATAGAAGTTCCGGCATTGGGGCCTGGATCATTTTCTGCACTATGTCCTTGGGTGTCTGGACTGGACTTCAAGAAGAGGATATTGAAGTATGCTAGAACTGCTCATTTGTTTTCAATGATAAGGGACAGAGGATGGGGGAAGTGAGGAAAGAGGGAAGAATTAGCTATAAATTCACTGCACTAGACAGAGAAAATATGAAGACAGGGTTACGACAAGCATTGAGGATCTTGATCGCAGCAGGAGCTGTTGAGGTGGGAACTCATCAGAGTGATGGCCAGAGAATCATCTGTAAAGGGACTAGTGAGGAGGAAATGGAGGAGTTTCTGGATACAGTCACTGCACCCGAAGGGGCAATGTCATTGGTAGAGAAATGGACAACATATAGCTCTGCCCATCAAATGGGGAGTTGTAGGATGGGAATCACTGAAAAGGATGGTGCAGTAGATGAGAATGGGCAGAGTTGGGAAGCAGAAGGGTTATTTGTATGTGATGCTAGTGTTCTGCCAAGTGCGGTTGGCGTCAATCCTATGATCACCATCCAGTCTACTGCTTATTGCCTCTCAAAGAAGATAGTCCAGTCGTTGTAAAAAGGAGCTCTCAAACTTTAATTTACTTTTCAGACATGGACTGAACTAAACTTGGAAAGTGATGGACAGAGCAGGAGCAGAATTAGGAATCTAAGGAGATCTGTAAGGAAGTGCTACATTTTAAGCAGCCAAGATTTTCGGCAACTTATAGATTTATAGTGTAAACAGATTTTTTAGCTGTGGATTTGATATGTTTGGCTATAATGTTATAGTTATGAAAGGAATTAGGTTTTCTGATAAAGAGAGTAAACCCAAGTAATGCACAGGACAGTCTCTTTATGTCAAATGTTATGGTTTTGTGATCTGGGGATGGGAAGAGTTCAATATGGCTGACGTACAACCAATACATGCTCATTATTACAAGAAATCGAAAAATCTTGAAATTGAAAGAACAAAATTCTGTAGAGCACCAAAGTGCTACACAAATACATATCTAAAAGACTTTTTTGTCCATAAAATAAGTTTTGTACAACATCTAAATTGCCGATATATAGAATTTTCTTTATCGAGAAGATAGGTTGGTAGTGTATGAAGAGCTAAATATTCAAAGCAATAGTGATTTTACAACATCAGTGATAAGTGTTATCACGATTGACTAACTATGTGTTGTGTATAGAGGGTCAACAACTCGTAAGAATACCTAACATGACCAAATAACAACTTAAAAGGTGTTTGATATATTTAACCTGTATATGGAGCATGTTGTTATTACATTGTGATATATGTCATTGATCAACTAGCACCATCGTTGCATTGAATATTTCCTCCCTATTCCCTAGGCAATGCTGTAGACATATAAAATAGGTGAATAGCATCCTTGTCGATCACAAAACAATTATACACCCAAACACAAACTCTAGCTTCAATATGGTCAAGCTCGTCTTGGTTGTAACTGATCGAACTCAAGCTCTATTGTCAAGCTTAAGTTCTTGCTAGAGCCTGGCTCTAAAGAAGTTTGCAACTATTGGAACCAAACTCAAGTGTGCTTTCTCAGCAAATCTTCCAAAAATCAAACTCAAAAACTTAATAATCAAACATAAAATAATCAATTTCTCAAAAAAAAAAAAAAATCCTCAAAATGGAACTAGTAAAACCATAAATCAGACCCTAAAAGCTCAAAATTTCTAAAAACCTGTCAGAAAAGAGATGTAGATAAAAGTGTATATGATCTGAAGGTAGTAGGGATAAGTATCAAGGCTAACTCGTACGTTTCTTGCTTAAATTCAACTTGTTTTCTAGAAACTTGATCAGTTTGTTCAATCTCTTAATAGATAAAAACTGACAAAAAAATGTAGTGATATTTTAGAAATTAGAAAGAATGTTAATGAAATATGACTTAAATTCAAGAAATGTCAGTGAAATTTATCCAAATAAATACCAAGGCAGGCTGTGCAACAAAAACAAATAAGGTCGTCAAATTAAGTACAAATAGCATTACTTGTAAAAAACCCCATCTATTCTATCATCTCTCTCTTTCCATCCCCACCTCCTCATCTATCATCTTTTTCAAACACAAGAGAAGAAAATATTAAATATAACAGTGACAACATATAACTATTATGACGTTACATGAATACTTTTTACAATGAGAAACTTACAAAAAACTTTGATTCTTTTTGTATATCCAAATGAGATCATGACATGATCATCATTGTGGATACCCGATAAATAATCTTAAATGTAGTTCAATAGGTAACAAGAATGAGTTATAAAGTCAGACGTACTTAATTTGGGTGATTAATGATTTATCTCTTATGAATACCTTAATTTTAGCGTGGATGACCTGACCGGATGCAGAAGTAGAGTTGATGTGCACGTAAACTCATCCGAATCTAGAGACAAAAAAAAAAAAAAGAAGATAAATGAACGCACTGCAGGCCCCAATATACAATATTGGTCACTGAATAACCATAAATCCTCTAATTTACGGATATACCATTGCATGTAGAAGTGTCCAGGCACCAACTGTTTACCACTCGTAAAAATTTACAAAAAAACATTTCAGTGGTCAACACGGCTAAAACAGTTGAACAACTCATTTGCGAGACTTTCTAAGAACTGAGCATTTCAGAACTTCTGAGAAAGACAACTATGGTGCCAACTGTCAGTTATTCCAATTGTACGATGCAATCGAGGACTATACCTTTAACATGATACATTAACAACATAAATATTCGACACGCCACAAAGTTTGGAAAAAAAAAAACAGGATTAATTAATAATAATTGATGGAGAAATTAACAAGTTTGGACATTAGTGGAGCGGTAAAGTTGTTTCTATTAGGATTTGTGCGTTCCAATTAAAAAAAAAGGTCTCTTAATTAATAAGGTAAAATTGTGTAAATCTAACATCATTTTAGAGTTCAAACACCGTAGTTTATAATAGTGAAAATATAGTGGATTAGGCTTGATGCATGATATAAACAACTCTAAGCATCAAGGCATATACTTGCTTGGCCTGCAATTTCTATATGCTAGCCTTATTACAAGAGTACACCAAAGTGCTTCAATGTTTTTTTCCTTTTGTTTTATTTGATTGTATCGAAAGAATGTAATGACAAGATTTTAGCTGTCAAAGAAGAGAAGCAAAGGAAAATTCAGCCTTGGTAGTTACGGTACTCATTCATGAACAAATGCCAAGTAAGTTTTATATATGCAAGAATTCCAAAAGTATAATACAAGAAGATGGGACAACTTTATTATTATCTAAACTTTGTGGTGGCAGAGAAATTAACACCCCCCCTACACGCTTGTCAATCTTGTCGTGTGAAGTGGGTTTGTGTCAAGTTTAAACGAATTTACAAAACGAGTGACAAGATGTAAACACTCTCTCTCTCTATATATATATCTATATAATAAAATAATTTACAATCCAAATTTCAAAAGATAAACAAAATGACTTTTGTTTTTCTTATTTCAGATCACTTTATATTTTATTTTAAAGTTAATCTAACTGTTAATATTAGCATCCTAAATTTAATAGGAAAAATAGGGTTCTAAAAATGTGTTTGGAGTGACTTTTTAAAAGTATTTCTAAGAATTATTTGTCATAAATATTTTAAAAAACATAGTATTTAAAATCGTCCCACCACTACCTCTACCACCACCGCCGCTGCCACCACTACCACGGCCACCATCGCCACGGCCACCACCGCCACCAAGATCATTGCCACCCACCACAACTATCACCGTCTCCAACCACCACAACTGTCGTTCATCACCTCTCACCCTCACTACAACTAATGTTTAAATTCATTTATCTCTCATCTATGTTTGTAATTTAGATTTGAATACAAATATGTTTATTGTTTACTATTTTTTTATTACTCTGTGCCTTCAGACACAAACAATAACTAGTATATTTATATATGACCCAACTCGGAATATAAATAAATGAGCTTTTGACCCATCTCATAAGGTTTTTAAAAAAAAGTCTCAAATAATGGTTGATTTCAAAATAATTTCCAAACTCATGTCCTTTTTAAAAACGTTAAATGGACTGACGTTTTTAGATTAAAGACATCAGATGGATTGACGTCTTCAACCTAAAAACGTCAGTCCATTTAACATTTTTAACCCTTTTTTTCTCAACACACTGACTTTAATAAACGTAAGTTGGACTGATGTTTCTTTAAACACGTTAGTCAAATTGACGTGTTTAACACTGTCTTGCTCCTCTTGTTTTTCCGCTGGTTGCCTGGCCCATTCTTTGCCAAAAGTCGAGCAACTTGGACATCACTCCACCGACTTTATTGCATGAAATTGGGTCACTGACAAATGAAATTGGGCTACTTCTTTTTAAAAGTTGTTTGACTTTTGGCGAAGAATGAGCGAGGCAACCAGCAGAAAAACAAGAGGAGTGAGACAATGTTAAATGCGTTAGTTGGACTGACGTGTTTAAAGCAACGTCAGGCCAACTGAAGTTTATTAGGGTTATTGTGTTGAGAAAAAAAGGGTTAAAAACGTCAAATAGACTAACGTTTTTAGGTTAAAAACGTCAATCCATTTAACGTCTTTAACCTAAAAACATCAATTCATTTGACGTTTTTAAAAAAGACGTAAATTTGAAAATTATTTTGAAACCAATCATTATTTGAGATTTTTTTTTTAAAACCCCGTGTGGGATGGGTCAAAAGCTCATAAATAGACAGGAGGGTCATCGACTCCAAAATTCCTTGGCCATCACTGATATCACTTCGTTTGGATTGAAATGAATATTGCTCAGAGCTATGAAAAACCCCGGTGGTCTGCTGACATTTGTTCCTGTGGTGATACTGGAACATGTAAGCTCTCTCTCTCTCCCTCTCTCTCTCAATTTTGCATGAGTTGCTGGAATTTTTTAGGCTTATCATCGGAATACCAACAACCTAGCATGCCATGGTTGATTGTATTAGAGATATGAAATTGACAAGCATACAGGTCCAACAATACCCACCCAAAAAAAACATACAGAGATCATAAATAAGCATAAATGGTATTTTATTTTTATTTTTGAATTGTTAATGACCCTATAAATAATTTTATTTCGATAGAACATAGAAAGAAAAAAATAGCACCATCTATACAACCACCATGAAAACAATATCCCATGTTATACAGTAGAGGAGCCGTACCCCTGGGGGAGCGATTGCCCTGGCCAACCCTAGATCGTCATGGCTCAAAGAAAACTTTTCTTATAGGTTGATGCAGTATGATAGAACTAGTCCTCATTACTTTTCATATTTGCTGTATGCAAAGTTTCATCCAAGCGTTTGCTTATATTAATTCCTTGACAAAGTTGATTATTTTCTTCTTTAATACATACTCACCAACCCAATTCTATGTGAAAAATGCCTATGCCTTGCAGGTTGCATAACATGTTTGCTTCCATGCATTACCTTTGGTCAAATTGCAGAGGTCGTGGACGAGGGGGGAAGCTGTAAGTATCATCACAATATTTGGTTTCTTTAGGCATAGGTTTTGCAGTATTGAATGTAAAGATTGAAACTTTTTTTATAATTGATTGGTGATGTACAACTTGGTGAACAATGATTAACATCAGTTAGAATCAAGCCTAATTGAAACATAAATTATATACAACTCTTTAAAACGGAGTAATACAGTCTATTAGTATTATTCATTTTCAACAAACCCCACGATATAACAATACCATGGCCAAGTATCACAATTTTTGGGCTTTTTTTGTGACAATGTTGTTGAAGCTGACCCGATCTAACAAGTTAACCCGATAAACTAGTGCCTAGATTGGATTGGGTTAACTAGAAGACATGGCTGGTCGAACCAGTGACCTATTGACCTACTTAGTATTGGCCTTGGTTGAAAGATTAAAATTGACCTTGGTAAATTGTACCTTTGGCAATTTTATAGCTTAATTATTATTACCTGTGATTATTTATCACTTTCTATTGTACGGCCCATCGAACCATTTGATGCAATGGTTGAATTAGTCGTCAATTTACCTGATTCCTTTATCGGGTTAATGTCCGATCTGGTTTGTGAAGCATTTTCAAGTCTGAATATGTCATACCTTTTAAAGGAAACAATAAAGATTTCATAGGCAATTGAATTGTAATAACATGTATATGAAAGTGATTGATTGCAATTTCTAATGGTTATTATTATGTTCTTTTTTTTTTTCCAGCTTGTGTGTTGCATGGTTGCATATATGGTGCACTGATGGTAATTCAGTGCCATTGCCTATATTCATGCCTTTACAGAGGGAAATTGAGAGCCAAATATAGGTTACCATCTGAGCCTTGTAATGACTATTGCATTCACTGCTGCTGTGAGCCATGTGCTCTTTGTCAAGAGCATGCTGAGCTTAAAAACAGAGGCCTTGACCCCTCCAAAGGTTCTGCACTAAAACCCTCATACAGTTTTCTTTATCTCTGATAATTTATCTATGTCATTGCATGGACAGGGGTGTTAATCGAATTGGATCTTTCGAGTTTTGGTATGTTTAGGCTCGTATCAAGTTTAATTATTGAGTTCATCATGTTTTTATTCAACTTCGGATTAGTTTTTAGATCATATGTCTATGTTTGACTCAATTTCACTTGTTTTTGTTGTACTACAAATTTGATTCGTGCACAAACTCGAACTCAATAGTAAAATACAAAGTAATTAGCCAAAGGGTGATAATTGTTTTTATTTGTTTCCACCACGGAAAAATGATATATTTTATTATAAATTAAATCGAGTCCAAGTTACAAAGCTAAGCAACACATTGCTTAGCTTGAATGTTTTTTTTTCCAGAAACAGGGAAATTTTATGGCTTGTTCTCAGCGAGTAGATGCGTGCTTATGTCGCTCAGACTCGTAACTCTGTGTAGAATCACTCACATCAGAAATTTGAATACGATTCGTTCAAACAACTTAGGTCTTGTCCTACCAAACAAGCATGCTTTTGCGCCTAGGAGACTTCGAACCCTTGACTTCCCACTAGGAAGCCAGTTGGTTAGCTTGAATGTTAAATGAGTTTTAAAATATTATTAATATTTTATTTATTTTCTACGAGTTTAATAAAGTTAATCTTGAGTCGAGCCTAATTAGTACTCCCAAACAAAGTACAACATTCTTAGCCTAACTAGTAGTCCCAAACAATAGTACAACATTTTTACTTCAACTAACAAAGTGCTCTCATATACTAGGGTGGATTGGCCCACCAAATGCTCCTCCGCCGATGCCCCCTTCCATGATCAAATGAGTTAGACGACTGCAGAGATGTTGCCGTAGGCTCCAGCACCAGCGGAAGTTTCCTCCTATATGAATTTATATTGTAATTTGTCTGATGGATGAACTCCATATCTCATTTCTAGAGGTTATTGGAGCATCTCTTTTATAATTAAATGGTGTGAAATTACTTATAAGATTAAATAAATTATTCTAAGCTTAATAAAACATGGTAAACAGTTTTAAGTCGGAAATTTCGTTTCTAAATGATTAAAATAGTTTTGTTCTCAATGAGATCATAATGAATCAGTGATTGAATTAAAATTTCAATATTTTGAGGTGTTTCAGAATATTTCGACGTGTTGACCAAAAAAAAAAGAATATTTCTACATGCACTGAAATGAAATTTTGGTCCTTAGTCATTTATTTAAAGAAATTTTTTCTTATAATTCTGAATTTTTTTCTTTTTTTGATTTTGTTTTTGTTTCATGTTTTTATATGAATACCACACCCATCTAGTATAACCACTCTATTTTAATTTTTTTTTTCAACAATTCGACTAAGGATGAGACTATTCTCATCCCACAAATTTTCATTCTCAACCTATTTAATTTGTTATTATCAAACTATTAAGTACACCCCCCTTTATACACACTTCATGAGGGAGTTATGTTCACCTCTTTAATGAAATAAGTCATCGTAAGAAAAAGATAATGAAAAAAAATAATTAGTTTAAATGCATAAATATATTTAAGAAACAAGTAAAACTTAAACAATAAAAAAAAACACCCAAGAACGAAATAAGTAAAAAAAAAAACGAAACAAGAAAAAAAAAAGTAGAACAAAAGAATAAAAACGAAACAAAAAAAAATCAGAAAGAAAGAAGCAAACTTAAATAAGAAGGAAAAAAAAATCAAGCACAAATTAAAAGAACAAGTAAATCTATAAGATGCAAAACCACAAGATGTAAAACCAAATATGAAAAAAAAAAAATAGTATCAAGTACAGACACAAAATCGAACAAGAAAAAAAAACAACATAGATACAAAATCTAAACAAAATAAAAAAGAAAAAATAATCTAAAAACATACACACACACACACATATATATACACACACACACACACTCTCTTATAAATTCTAAATAAAAAATTATTAAACTTGAAAATAATAAAATTCTGTATAACAAGCATGAAATCAAACATAAAATTAAAATTAAATTGAGAAGTAACTACCATGTATTTCACCTAAAAATTATATTGAAAAAAGTATTTTTGTGAGTGTATAAGATGAGATGAAGAACAAAACCCTAATTATGACAAAATATAAAAAAAATTTACTTACTAAAAGGGGTGTATATAACATGAAATAGACTTAATTATAAATGAAGTAGGTATAAAAAGAGTAATTTTAGTAGTTTGATAATAAAAATTAAATGAGATAAAAATAAAGATTTGTGGGGTGAGAATAAATAGTTTCATTTTTCGACTAATTCTCTTTTTAATCCGGTGAAAAACAAACTTTCTAGGTAAGAGATTAGAGCCGCGCCTAGGCCTAGGCTACTTAAGTGAATGCGTGGGCCCCAATCTTGTTAAAAAATTAGGGCTCCTAAATTATTGGCTGAATGTATAAAGCCCAAAGTCAGTTCTGAAGCTCGTTTGAAGATAGAATAGGCCACTCGCATTGGTAGGCCTCGTATATTATCTTTCTTTGCTTTAGTAGTTGACCCGTTATATACAAATAAAAGACTTATCCCAATAAATATCTTACGCCTGCAACACCGATTTTCAGTTTGATAGGAAGAATGAAAATTAAAAAGATAATAAATAAAAAGTTAAAAAGAATATATTTTTTCTCATTATGTTTGGTATGATGGATGAAAAATTGAAGGGATGCATTCTTTTTTTTGGTATTAAATGGAAAATTAGATGGAAAGGAAAAATATATATTCTAAATTTACCATTATACCCTCACATCTAATTACATGAATAAGATTAAAGAAAATAAATCAAAATGCATGATTTTTTTTATAAGTATATAATATTTAAACCCGCTAAAGTTTATATGTATATAATATTTAGACATGTTTTAAGTTTAAAATATTATACTTAGATCAAAAATACTCCAATCAAATATGAAATATTAAATATTTCAAATTTTACAACTAAAATTCATGTTCTATTGTATCATATATTGAAATAAAATCAAAAATAAAATTTACTTATAAAGATATTCTTCATTTAATTATTTAATGTGTATCTAACTAGAAATTATATGTATTTTTTTTCATTATGTGCATTTAATTATTAAATCTTCCATTACATATACAAAAACAAACTTAATAAGTTAAATTCTAATTATATTATGTGGTAAATACTAAAAATTATATAATTAAAGAGAGTGGTGGGTAAAATAGTCAATTCACAAAAAACTCATCTTTCCTTTATTTTTCGCCCATTTTTTTTGGGAGGGGGGAGGGGAAATGTTTGGTGGGCTCAAGGGAAATCATTTCCCTTCCATTTTCTATTCCTCCCATTTTTCCTCTATACCAAACAAAGGAAAGATTTTCTTTCCCTCCTATTTTTCTTCCTCCATTTTTTATCCTCTCTATTTTCCATCCAACCAAACGGGGGTAAAATGTTTCTCTTTGATAGTTCTCATGGAGTCATGGCCTGTCTTTCTCTGATAGTTGTCCCTCTGTGTTGAATACCAAAGCCCTCTTCTAAGTTCTTAGCTTAACAACTTACCCTTGTTGGCATTGTCTCTCTCTCTCTCTCTCTCTCTCTCTCTCTCTCTCTCACACACACACACACACACACAATCAAGCGCACTTCCTAAAACTTTTGTATATAATCAATAAAGCCAAAGAATTATCATGTTCGGTTTTTCTAATTTTATGGTTTGTTGTACTAGTTAGTCTTGCCAACAAATGGTTTGTTATTCATTTAACATGGAAAAATGCTACTTTGACAAAAAAATATTGACAACAATTATTGACTCATAATATCACCGTCATTAATTTAAGTGAGTTCCAACATTTATTGAAATTCACTATTTATTTAATGATTGTGATGGAAGGAGTCAGCAAAATGTGTCATGAATGATAGCCTCCAATATTTCATCCCAATATTAACTTATTTAGTTTCTTTTTTTTAGAAATTTAAGATGGTGTCAATTTAAAATAATTTATGGATTTTCCTATTTTCAATGCTGTTTGTTTAAATTTCCTCTTTGTTTTTTTGTGAAAAAAATGTGTGCTTTATTATTTTAATTACCATTTATTATTGTGTATTAATATTTTTTTTTGGTAAGCTAATATTAATATGTTAATTATTAATGGGGTCTCATACGACCATTTTTGCCTAAGGCACCTAACTACATCCCCCCCCCCCTCTTCTCAAGTAAATGCACGGTTATACCATATCGACCATATCGATTGAGTATCACCAATCAATACTAAAACACCAAATAGGTAATGTAAATCCACTTTGGTAGTTATTTGTTTACATGGAAGAATGATATGTAATTATTTACTTATTTAGAGAGTTGATTATTAATTTTTGTGGATTCTATTTATTTATTTGTTTTGATACTATTAATTAATTACAAAATTTTTGATACATTAAGAGTTTAATAAGAAAATTTTAATTTTAAAAAATATAAAGTAAAAAACTTAGAAATTTTTTAGGGTATAAAATAAAATTCTCCCTAATATTTTTCTTATTGTATCCAAATTTTGGAAACGATATCACAACACTTTCGTTTGTTCAATATTGGCGGGCGGCTCATTCAAAACAAGTAAAATTAATAAAAAAATTATATTTTGACCCTTTTATTTACGGATTCAGTTTTATTTTATCCCTTACACCTCTTATCCTTACCCTTTTTCAAGCCTACTAAATTTAAATTAAGATAAAAAATTCTTAAAAATCTTCACTAATACTAGACTCAACACAAACACAAACAATCACATAGTTCCAAACACACTTTTTTTTTGGATGGAAATTACAAATGTATTGGGTCAAAAAAAAAAATCACATAGTTCTAAGAATAAAAATAATTTTTTTTTTTTGTCAATGTGGAAAAGAGTCATAATTAAGAGATTTAAGTAGAATTTGCTTAAATTTCTTCGATGGTTTGAGGAAAGATGTATAACGTGTTTGACGGTATTGACAAAGGCAAAATTCGAGGAAAGTTTACAACAAGCACTGGTCAAGTCTT